TTATTATTATTTTTTATATTATTATTATTATTTTTTATATTTATTATTATTATTATTTATATTATTATAATATTGAATTAAATTAAAACATTTTTTATATTTATGAAATTTGGTGTTCACACATGTTTTATCACAGTAACTATTTCGCGGCTTGATACGAGTTGATTCGAATCAAGTAAAACTGATTCGAATCAAGTCGTTAAAGGCTTGATTCGAATGATTCGAATCACTTGATTCGACTTGGCCATCACTCTAGTAGTTACATTAAGTCAACATTTAGTATTACATAAGCACTTAATACAATTTTTAAAAATATAGCTCAAGAAAACTACTCTTAATCTCTGACAATATACAGTTGCAGTAAACAAAATCTTGATATTTTCACTTGTTATAATAAAGATTGCTCTATCATTATTTTAGAAAAACCGGGCGGCGGCGTGTGAGTGAAATCATCCAGTATTATGTCTAAAATAGCCCCTTCATCAACTGGAAAAGGAAAATAATCAACTTTTTCAGGAACATTAAATTTCAAAAAAATATTAAATCAATTATTACCATACAAGACGGGATACACAGTACCCCTGACGTTATTGACGGGTATTTCGAGATCCTTTCCATTTAAATAAAAGTTAAGTGCTATGTGATCATAAGACACCCCTAAAGTGTCTCCTTCAGTGGGAGTTCTACTGGCTACGTCGGACGAAATAAGGTCTCCAGGGTCCTTTGACCCCAATAAGGGACCTGAAGAGAGTGGATCAGGATTGGCCGAGTCCGTGGGTAGACTGGGAAAATGAAAACAAAATTATAAATACAGAATAAAATTGTGTTCCAAATATGTAGTATAGATTTAGGGGCCCATAACGTGCACAAGGAAATGTTGATGAAAAACCTAAATTTAGTATTGAGGCAAAAACTTGAACGGTGAAAACCTAATTAGCTATGAATGATTTACTAAAATCGCACCACATGGTTTCTCGCTGAAAACGCGCTTCTGGAGCGGTCCTTAAAAAATCGTCTTAACAGGGGTTTACTATATATCTATTTCTCAATTAGTGGCTATTGTTTGTTAGATTCTCATGAACTCTTATTAACAAAATGAATTTATAATCAGATATATTCCGCGGTTGTGACCTTAACAAGAGCGATTTGTACTCATGACATGCGCTGCGTCGATATTCTTGCGAAGTCACTTTCATTGAACTTTCCCCGGCATGAACTTTCTTCGGCAGTTAACACACGATTGCTGACATTTGAGATTATTATCCTAACATTTATACGCAAGAATTATCAGAAATATTAATTCGAATGAAATAAAGTACTTTGTAGTAAGGTAATTGTTAAGTTTTACTTGGGGTTTTAACTTCCATAAAGTAAAGTTTATGTTTTTGCCTGTCCGACTAACTGAATGTTTTCCCCACTTCCAGTGTATTCTGAATCGTGTGAGATTAAAATTGGTTAAAGAGAGTGCTTCAAAATTTGATCTTTCGTCGACAACTTCTCAAAAAAGACGTTTTAATTTTTTTTGAAAATTAAATTCACGTGTTATCTTACCAGACCCCTCCCTACACCATGTGATATTTCGAGTTTTTTATCAACCCGCCACCCCCTTAGAAAGAAATCAGAGGAAAATCGTGCTCACTAACTTTTTGCAATGATCGTCCAGGACGTTTCTTTGTAATTAAAAATTAATTTTTTTTTTGGGTTCCTTTAACACAGCGGTAAGGTTAATGGTTTGATAAATAAACATTCTAAAATATTATAGGCCTACAAAAAGTGGTGCTATTATAAAAAAAATGATTTACACAATTGAAAAAATGCAGAACCTATTTCAAAAAATCATATTTCTATGAAACTAAAACAGAAAATTGCAAAATCCCCTTTCAAAGTTTTTGTAAAAAAAATCCTGAACTGATTTAGAACTTTTAAAACTGTTCGAAAAGTAGTTGTATTATAAAAAAAAATTAACGTTTAGAATAATGAGTAGCTTGAAAAATTGGAAATAATATTGATTAGTTTTTGGTGAAAGCGAAACCTTATTTTCCGAAATAAAAAGTTGAAAATTTTAGATAAATCTTAATTCTTAATGTTTGAGTCTAATATTCATACGTATGGTAAATTTATGCAACTTTCCTTAAGGCAAAATGCTACTTACACCTAGTATATTTTATTTAAATAAAACTACACTAAGAAAGTACATTTAAATGCACCATTGTATGCAGCCTACATTTTTTAAACAAGTGTATTCGTTATCTTGTTGCTTTCTATACACATATTAAAAATCCATTAATGGACATTGTGTTGCAGATAACATTCATGAACAGATATAGTGTATATGTAGAAAATATAATACAAAAATTATTTAGACATAGACAAAAAACTAGAAGAATTCAAGCGTTATTCTACTTAAATTCTTAAAGGTATTAAGAAAAAAAAATAGAAGTTAAATGCTGGTTCAACACAGTTTGCATTCAGGAATGTCTGTTATTAAAAATATTGAAAGTTATAAATATATGATGGATATATAAAAAATCACGAATTTTCTCGGAAGTCAATTAAGCAATCGACAAGAAATTTAGTATCGATGTCATTCACATCTAATTACCAAGGAATGCGTCCTTGGCGTCGATAATCAACGTCAAAGTCAAACTTTCGTTTTTTCAATTAACATTCACGTATGAATAGCAAATAAGTTTATGCCAAATACATAATTTTTGGCCATCAATTTCATATCCGTATTTGTGGAACAGAATGTTATGAAATAATTGTAATTGGTAACAAGAACAACGTTGATTTTGAAGATCACCACATATCACCAAGGGGAAGTCCAAAAATCATTAAAAAATCGATCACGTGATTAATGGACGTCCCTTTATTGATTATTTTTATCATAAAAAGAAAAATAAATTGATGCTAGTTTTTGATTAAAAATAATAACAAAAATATTTGAAAAATATATAAACAAAATATATTAACATAAAGATATTTTTTTTAACTGATAGAAAAAATTACTAATACTATTATTCGATTTATTTATTATTTCTAAATAATTTATCATACGCAAAATTCATATTAATGTCAACAAAATCATCATCAACAAAGGTATTATAAAATCCTTTTACTAAATAATTACAACAGATACATATTTTTTTAAATAGATCTTTAGGTAATTAGATTGTCAAATTTATGAAAATCTGTATACTAATTCATGGATCTGCTGTATTTTTTGTCCAACAATTTAATCATTTAAAATAATAAATACCTGTGTATAACTACATTATCGTGCCGGACGGTACAATCTGAATTCAGGCACCAAGATTCCTTATCGTTTCCACCTAAAATCAAAACAGTACAAAAAGTTAAAATTAAAAATACTAAAAAACATTAAGATTACTTTCTATGATGACCTTTAAACAGACGCAACTTTTAAATAAACCGCGTAAAATTTAGTTATATCACGAAGAATAAAGAAATTTATTATTATTACTTCAATAGCGTGATATATGTTAATAACAAATAATTGATATTTTCGAGGTCAAATAATAGGAAAAAAAACTTATCACAATGAGAAGTTTCATATTTAGTAAGAAAAGAAACACGCATTTAACATCAGATAAATGTGGGCGTTTTGTACTCGATCGCGATAACAATCTTACATTTATCATATGAGAGGTCAATAAAAATATAATATAAACGTCTTGGTGATGAGAATTTTCACTTAATAATTATCTATGCAAATTCATAACGGTAATAAATTTTAATTGAGACGTGATAATATTAATTACTACTGAAAAAATCCTAAAATGTAATACTTATATACATATAATGCATCCATTACATAAAATGTAAGATACATTATAAAGTTGTTATTTTAGAAGGTTTATAGATCTTTTTTATTCATTATAACTTGATGAAGAATTTTGGATAAATTTTTAAATATCACAAAAAATAGAGATAATTAAATTTGTTGGCTGAATTGGGATCACTACATCAAAAATCATTAAATTTCAATATCGATATCAATTTATAATGAATTTGCATATAATAAATATAAATCCATGCAGTATTTCTACATGTAAAGATAATTTAATGATAAATGTGAAACTCTAATTTATAGGAATGATATAGGATTATTATTGCAATTTAGTAATTATTGTGATTGAATAATAGAGTTACAATAATTGATCATAAATCTTCGACTGCCATGACTAATATTGTGCAATTCAAAAGTATTTAAATGTCTGATAATGGGTTATTCACATGGAGTAAGAAAGTAATGATATAACTACCCTGTAAACAATTTTATATTGCCGTTAGGTTGCGGTTATATAAAAATGTTACCTAGTTATATAACGTCAACCTCACCGTCCCTAAGAAATTTTATTACCTGGAGATAACTATTTCCTACCCTGTTAGTTAACTTGTTATATAACATTGTTAGGTTGCGGTAACATACGGTAATGTACCTATGCGATATGAATCAGCACTTTTTGAAATGCTTATAATTTATGCGTAAATAATTAATTTTTCTCTAAAAAAAAAGATTTACTCATATTTCATTGTATTTATTATTTAAAATTAATATTTTACAATAAACAAAGTAGCAACAAATATTTTATACTAAATAGAACAGTAACAAATATTTCATAGTAAACAAAATAGCAACAAATATTTTATAACAAATAGCAACAAATAATTTGTACTAAACAAAACAGTAACAAATATTTTATAACAAATAAATAGCAACAAATATTTTGAACTAAACGAAACAGTAATAAGTATTTTATAACAAATAAATAACAGCAAATATTTGTTGCTATTGTTTATTATAAACTATTTTGTATTAAACAAAACAGTAACAAATATTTTATAACAAATAAATAGCAACAAATATTTTGAACTGTAGAAAACAGTAATATATTGCTGTTTTGTTTAGTTCAAAATATTTCTTGCTATTTGTTTGTTATAAAATATTTGTTACTGTTTTGTTTAGTACAAAATATTTGTTACTGTTGTGTTCAGTTCAAAATATTTGTTGCTATTTGTTTGTTATGAAATACTTATAAGTATTTTATAAGAAACAAATAGCAACAAATATTTTGAACTATATAAAACAGTATCAAGTATTTTATAACAAATAGCAACAAATATGTTGTACTAAACTACTAGCACTAACTATTTGTTCCTATTTGTTTGTTATAAGTATATAACAAATACTTATAAGTATTTTTAACAAATATATAACAAACAAACAAACAAATACTTATTAGTATTTTATAACAAACAAATAGCAACAAATATTTTGAACTGAACAAAACAGTAACAAATATTTTATAACAAACAATTAGCAACACATATTTTATACTAAACAGAACAGTAACAAATATTTTATAACAAACAAAAAGCAACAAATATTTTGAACTAAACAATACAGTAATAGGTATTTTATAACAAATAGCAACAAATATTTTGAACTAAACAATACAGTAATAAGTATTTTATAACAAACAAATAGCAACAAATATTTTATACTAAACAGAACAGTAACAAGTATTTTATAATAAACAAAATAGCAACAAATATTTTATACTAAAGAGAACAGTAACAAATATTTCATAAAAAGAATAACAACATTATAATAAAGAAAATAGCAACAAATATTTTATACTATATAGAACAGCAACAAATTTTATAAAGCAATAATAAACTTCATAACAAGACAGTAATAAAAAACAATATAATAAACAATACAGCAACAAATATTTTAGACGATACATAAAATTTATATCAATTACATTTATTTTTTGTTATTTACACAATGAAAAACAAAATAGTAACCTATTAAACAAAAAAATAACATAATAAACTAGAATATTTTAAATGTTAAAAATAACAATATTAAATATGTTATAATAAACAGTAACAAATATTTTTCGAAAACAATAACAAAAATATAGAATTCATATTCATTACAATTATTAATTTCATATTTTCAAATGAAACACAAATTGAATATAAAACTATTTTTAAATGATATTAATTAATAATAAAGGATGGAAATAAAAATATCTAGTTTTGGTCTAACTATTAACCTAGCTATCTCGACACACCAATATACAGAAACTTTATTACATAATTCCAAATTAGGATGACAATTTTCAAATACAATTATATTTTTTGCAAAGAAACAATACAACTATTAGAATTATAGTTGAGCATTATTAAGCTTTGATTTTTTCTTATCGAGATACTTCCAACATCTTCATTTTCAATATTCACAATTTGTCTTAATTCCATCGTAGCCCATATATACTATTCCACCTTAAAAACAAATGAGAAAGGTTAAAACAGAATTTATAATAGTAATTAGTTAACAAAAACTATGCCATATACCTTTCATTTATTCCTTGTTTTGCTGTTAAAACCCTCTTGATATTCTTTCATATTAATCACATATGTTATTCGAGGCAATTTAGGATTTAAACCGAGACGTAGAATCCAATCCTAAAAAGAAATTATTACAATAATAAAATATAAACCTCAAAAGCCATTAAAAATTTAAACAGTTATTTACCTTTAGTATCTTGTAGCATTGTCGAAAACTAAATTTTCATATCCAAATAATAAGCTCTAGTTTTTTTTTGAGACATCTCCAAACGCGGGCCTTATAAAAATAATTAGGCTTTAACACAGTAACCAACAAATAAATTATACTTACCCTTCATAATATTATATATCAAACAGCACTTCATAGAATTCATTTTGAGGTATTTCTTATACTCTTTCGATTTCAATGTAGCTGAACAAATTTCACATAAGCAAATATGTAAAGTTTACGCCATATGTATGCTATATATTTTTGCATTTTTATTTATACACTTAGCACTCAATATTACAAAATATTTAAAATAAAACAAGACAAAACAACCCAACAAAACATCCCCACATATGACAGAGTATAAAATCAAAATGGCGTACAGCGTACAGGCTACAGGGCGCAATGCACTCTGGGAAACCTGACTCCTGAGTCTGAGTCCCTCTGCCGAAAAAGGAAGACAACCGTTAAACGTTTAAAACGTTTAATCAAATTCAAAAATTTTAATATACTTTTTTGTTATTTTTGTTTGATATTTATAATTTCACGTGTAAATAATATTAGCATTTATTTGAGTTTTCGATTAATTTTATATTTTTCGCTTAATATTCCATAATAAAGTCCTCCGTAACACCTGTAAATTTTTATTTTGATATTACTTATAAATATATATCTTTTCTTCCGTATTATTGTTGTTATTAATACAAAATTATAATGTTTCAGAAATCACTTAATATTTATATGATCGTAAGTTTTATAAGTAGTATCAAAATAAAAATTTACAGGTGTTACGGAGGACTTTATTATAGAATATTAAACGAAAAATATAAAATTAATCGAAAACTCAAATAAATGTTAATATTATTTACACGTGAAATTATAAATATCAAAGAAAAATAATAAAAAAATATTATATCTGAATTGAGAATTGAATCCCGGAGCAAAAATTAGAATTCCACGACGATAACCACTCGGCCAATCTGCTGTTAATAACGAATAGCTTGCAAGGTATGCAATACGCGCGCTGCTAAAATGCAAACTTTAATTAATTTTTATATTTAAACCGCTTTTCACAGGCCTCTAATATTTTACCACGGTCAGTTTGGGCATCAAATCTAGCATTGTGCCAAGTTTCATCAAAATCCGAGACAGGCAATGCGTGGATTCTCCTTATAAGTTTTTAAATTTTTTGAAAAAAATAGTTTGTTTTAAGTAAGTAATTGAAGAAGTTAAAATTCTATTTTTTGGAAAACTTAGAAAATTTTTTTATTTAAAACTTTGAAATTTTTACTATAACGTCCCGTAGTAAGTTATAGTAGTCGCAAAAAAATCGAGAATGAAAATTTTGTCGACGTTTCGGGAACAACATTCGATTCGTATTGATAAGGAGGCGTGCTGATGCAGCCGTTCCGAAGATACGGGGCAAAAAGTGCCCAGGTAACTCAGTTTTTAAGAGAACGAAGCGTCCGAATTTAATAATTCAAGAACCATTCTATGGGTTCCGTAACATCGTTTGTTTGTTTAACAGCAACGCGGCGCTTACGCGCTTCGATATTTCATCTCATAAAAAACATTTTTCTTCTAAAGTTTTTTTTTCAAAAAATTCAATTTTTTTCTAAAATGTAAAATTGTTTAAAAAATCTAATTTTTTCAAAGTTGAAAAAAAAATTTTTTTTGAAAAAAAAATAATTTTTGGTACGGGAAGTTCCAGTAATTTGCCTTAACGCACGATGCCATACACCACTAGTTAAATCAATCTAATCGGTTGATATAAAAAATATATATATCCGGAATTTAAAAATTAGATAAATCGATTTTTCATTAAAATATAAAGTTGTGGAAAATATTTTCTAACAAAACATTGCACATTTATAACATTAGGTAACAAATGTATATAACTTTGTAACTCCCGATATACATTGCGCTTACATTACACTTAGTTAACATTTGTTATATAACTTTGTAATTTCAAAATACATTGCGCGTACATTACATTTAGTTAACATTTGTTATATAACTTTGTAACTTCAAAATACATTGCGGGTACATTACATTTAGTTAACACTTGTTATATAACTTTGTAACATAAAAAGTTATATTGCGGCAACAAGTAGTGTTTACTGGGTATGATATCACACAAATTTAGAACAATAATTAAGGGCAAAATAGCTTTTTAAATCAAGTAGATTGTATGTAACTTTACCATGCTATATTTAACAACAAACTTATTTGCGATAAATTTTTTTATTGTATATTTGAACAGCAATCAGAACAATATAGTCCTATGGGCTGTTGTAATAAATATCAATATTAGAAGAAAGTGATTTTTAGTAGTGGCTAGGCTATCTCTATTTGAAATATTTTATGATTAGAACTTCTTTAATACATATGATTCTTAATTTGATGCAATGAACGCTAAGAAAGGGCTTGGAAACATATTTCCATAAAATAGATGTATCATCTTTACCATCTGTTCCAGTATGATACTGTAATTCATATTTAATAATAATAATACTTGTACGAGTAGATAATATAAGTATATATCACTCATATCTATGTTAGCATCATATTTCTATTTGCAGTTTAAACTGAATTGAAATTTGAATGTCTTAAACAATCACACACACATTTTAATAAATAATAATAGCCTATCTCTATTTGAAATATATTATGTTTAAGATTTCTTTAATACAGATGATTCTTAATTTGATGCAGAATTGGCAAGAAAAGGCTTGGAAACATATTTTGATTAAATCGATTTAAGATGTTTACCATCTCCTCCAATATGATGCTGTAATTCATATTTAATAGAAGTAATACTTTTACGAGTAGATAATATAAGTATATATCAGTATAAAGCTCACATCTATGCATCATATTCCTATTTAAAGTTTTGGAATTGAAATTTGAATATCTTAAACAGCCACGACACGATTTATTTAGAATCAATATAGGTGCTATTCAAAAATATATTATTAACAACCTGTTGCTTGTGCCACATTTCTGATAAAAATACTTTTCTAACCTTGTGAATGATTCAAATCAGCTTGTCTTGTAGCAACTCCAACTGACCAAGAACCAGCTTGTTGTAATTTTACTTCAAAATAAGATTTTGATTGCACTAAAGGTGCACTAGCTAAAGCAGCCCCTGAGCCACAAACTCTACGGCCACCTTTCACAATAACCACTTCGTGACCTTTGAAATAAATTCGAAAATTAATTGATAGTATTATAAAATATTTGTTTACTATTTGTTTATTATTTTACATACCCATATGTGATGTGTCCAGTCGCACTGGATTTTCCCTGACTCGCATGGGGACATTGTTTGAATAACCTAAAGTATCTAAACATCCTTTTAGACAACAAAACATGCTAAATTTCAGTAAATTTATCCACAATCAATTTAAATAATGTCCAAAACTAAACGAAAAGTATTTTATAACCTAACCACTTTTGACAGTAACACTTATCACAACAGTTGCACAATTATATATCAATTTGTTATAAATAAATAAGAATAATTAATTTTATTTAGGAATGAACAAAACACTTATAAAATATTACAAATTTAAAATAAAAATAAAAATCATTTAATTTGGCAAAGAACATATTTGATGTTTACCATTTTTTCTGTATGTTTGCGAACCTGCTTCGTGACATTTGGCACAACGTCAATTGTATTCGCGGGAATTTTGAAATTATTAAAGATTGAAACATGATTTTTATATTCATGCAATAATCAAAAAATTTATACAATGTAAAAAGTTAGCTATCATATAATTTATAAAATATCATTCTTATTTTGTTATTTCTTATATTACAACATATGTATTTTAATTTCTTCTTACAGAAGGATAAGAAAATCACGAGCAGGAGAAAGTATTTTATACTAACTATATAATTTTTAAATTTTTGTACAAATAGATTTCAGTTCTGAGAACAATGTCATAACAAAATTCTTCACTTTCACTTATAAACCAATACAAAATGTAAACGCCTTAAATTTCCAGTTATAACAGCCTAAAATTAAAACTTCATTATGTATTGAATTGGTAATTCAAAAATTAAAGTTAAAATGTAATTTTAATGTTTCTCTGTTTTTTTTTTAATTTTAATTTAGTTCTTATAATGCGACAAACAAGTGTTTTTTCAGTAACAAGTATTTATAAGTAAAAATGAGAAAATTATTTAAAAAAATTAGTTGTTTAATGATAGCCATGCTTGATAATTAAATATTTTTATATTTATTGAATGCGGTGTTTAGTATCTTTATTCTCTTGGATTTACCTGTTTATAAACGATGATGGATATAGCATTTAATTAGTATTCAAATCGTAATTTGTTCTTTTTTTAAAGTATTTTATAGTACGCGTTTACAATAGAATAATATCTATTTACATTAAAGCAAGATCAGAGCAATATCGCAATAAGAATACAAATGAAGCCTAGAGCATAATTGCATTTATTAACTAAAGGACTTTATATTTTTACCAGAAGATCCGAATTGCTATTTTTTTAGTTTTTGGCACAACACCTAAGTTTAAATTTAATTTGGAAAGTTGACTACTATGTTTATATCAAATTTAAAATTTTTGGATATCAGCAAAATAATTAAGCTATATATAATTTTTAAGTATAGAGTTTTTGATGCAGTTATTTTTTTGGCCTTAGGACAAAATGCCACAACACCTAAGATTAAATTTAATTTGCAGAGGCATCAGAAAGATTGGAGTCCCAAAAGTTGATAAATGTTCACATCAAATTTTAAATTTTTGAATGGCAGCAAAATGTAGAAACTTTTAAGTATAGAGTGATACAGTTATTTTTCTTATTTTGTTATTTTCGAGCAAATGGCACTCTCATTTTCGTGAAATTCACGAAGAACAAATATTACGCTAGTTTAGGTTGTGGCTCGTTAAAAGAGAAAATATATTCTTTGCATTATATGTACTTTGTAGGCGCGGCTTTCTTAGGAATATTTTGCACGTACATCCATCACAAAATTCCTCCATCGATTTGTATATTTATCATTTTACGACTCTTTTCATTTTCATTGTTAATCTGAATTCATTGCTAAAAAAGCATAACATAACAAACTCATATTAACAAAAATTAATAAAGAAGTGATACACTATCTTGAGATTAATGTAAAAATGCATCTAATGGAAAAAAGACAATGATTCCTTAAAACATGTAAGTAGCATGTAAGTAAAATAACCACGAGTAAAAGTTATAGAATTCCGCGATTTCCAAAGAAGAAAAATTGTTTTCAATTGTTATTTCTATTAAAGAAATGTTTAAATATTACAAAAATAACAAATATCGTCATTTATCATATTTCCTTGACACCCATTACAATAGCGCGCAGGAAAAACAGAATTCGATGATTTCACGAGTAGATGCAATATAATGGTTATTGTTACTTGAGTAGTAAATATCTTATTCAAATAACAGATTTATGAAGTCGTTTTCCTTTGCGACTATTCGACAATAGATTCTATTCATTATTATCGAACAATACTGTAAGTTCAATGTGCTCCTAAAATTATTTGAAAATACCTGTCTCGTTTTCAATATCTTCCTAACAAAACGAACTAGAAAGCGAAACTGAAACGAGATCTCATTTGAATGGAGCATAATAATTATTCTTAGGTCTTACGTGAGTTTTGTTTAGAGTTCCTCTTTTCTATTTCTATGAAAATAATTTTTACTATTTATGTATGTATATACAAAAATATACTCGATATTCGATTCAAAAAACGTTACAGGTAAAAGATACAAAGCTTTAGATCTTTAAATGAAATTTGCGCACACCGTATTTGCTGATAATTTTTTAGCATTCATCAAACGTACAATCCAATAAACTAGATGGAGGTCATGAGCGAATTAAACATTATCTTGTAAAACAAGTAAAGTATAAATAAAAATATACTTCCAAATAATACTTCAAATAATTGTACAAAAAATGTAATGCAAGAACATTATTTATTTTATTTTTATGTCTCATAGAAAAGCAACAAAAAAAATAAATCAATATAAAAATTATTTACAAAATGGCAAAGATTATACAATTTTAAAATGCTGCCAATAAAACATCGAAACATATTTTATTGCTATATTGTTAACCATACAAACGAATATTTTGACTAATCCAATAGTTTACTTATTGCTATTATAACCACCATTTATTTTCAAAAATTCAAAATTTATTTGATATACTGACCTACATTCAACTACGCGCTTGAGCATAAATTAAAATATTTACATTTGTAAACAATTACCGACGATTAAAAAATAAATCAATAAATAGAGCTATTACAATATAATCAGTGCTATCGAAAACAATTTTTTTAAATTGCATTCCTAAAGAAAACGTCATAGTGCGCTCTTCACCATTATAATGGAATTATTTCTTATCCAGTCATTTAAGCTTAAATTAGGTAAGAATCTCAGAATTCGAGATACCCAGCTGTAAGTCTGTAAATACTTTAAAATAGCACCATAAATGTTGTCTCAAAACCTACATATGGTACGTACACCCTACCTTTTAGGGTGCTATTTTAGGGTATTTACAGACTTACAGCTGGGTATCTCGAATTCCGAGGTGAACTTACTATAATGACTGGACTATATCAAATAATCCATTCTAATTGCATAGTACATGCTAATTAGTGACTGTTTTGTTATACATTTTTAATAATTTTTAATGGATTTTTATTCCTACACATTAGTGTGTATTGGCGCTATATTTTAGACAAAGGTCAAACTATCACCAAACAAAGTGCCCAGGTCAAATATTTTATCATATCATTCAATGCAGGTGTCAAAAATTTTATAATCAATGCTTGCTCTACATATTAACTGTCCTCAACGAGCTTCACAAATCATCTATGAATATTTAGAAGTAAAACTTCTGATCCTAGGTCAAATATTTTGTGACTGTAGATATCTGAGATTTTATAATCATGACTGGCTCTACATATTAACTGTACTTAACAAACTTTTACAAATAATCTGTAAATATTTAGAAGTAAAACTCCTGATCCTTCTGGTTATCTCTACTATACTAAATACCGGCACATTATTTAGTATCAGCTGCATAAAACAAATGCGTCAGACAAATGTCGTCACCCCAGGTCATCTTTATATATCACTTTTCATTGTCTTACTCATAAATAATTAAAATTCAGAGATCGAACTTGGCACGTATTTTCTTGAACTAATTCATACCTGTACTGAATAGAAGCAAGGTGACGAGCTTCACAAATAATCAGAAGTAAAATTTCTTATCTTGAAGACTATCTTGGAGTTATAACGGTCATCCTGAAAGAAGAAGAGAAAATGGTACTAATTAAGAAGAAAATATATAGATAAACAAGTATAAATGGGAAAGTATAATTAAGAGAAACAATCGTAACATTCTAGATCCTCCCCCCATGAAGTAATGCCTGATGACGGTTGCCGTAGGAATAAGGAGCAAAAGAAAAGGGGAGGTTTTAGTCGGTATTATACCCCTTGGGTATTGAGCCCAACATGCCCAGGCCAAAGTCCGATTTAGAGAAAGAATCGTAGTATTCTAGATCCTCCCCCCATAAAGTGATGCCTAATGACAGTTCCCGTGGGGATATGGAGCAAAGGAAAAGCGGTGGTCTTAGTCAGTATTATACCCCGGTGGTCTTAGTCAGTATTATACCCCCACATACCCAGGCCAAAGCCTGATATTCGTTAAACTGTTTCCTTTGCTTTATAAAGAAAAAACTGTAGGTCATCTGTATACATCATTTCTCAGTGTATTACTCATAAATAATTAGAATTCATCAATCAAATTCATCACGTATCTTTTACCTGCATGATCTAATTCGTACCTGTATCGAATGGAAGAGCAAGGCGATGGTCGGCGCTTGGCATGCACGAGAGGGTTGTAAAACAATGATCTAACACGTACGACCCGTCCTAGATCCGACAAGGACTAACTATTAGATCCGACACAATCATGTCACATTTCATACAATGGTCAAGTGACCAACTCCTCCTCTTATCCTCGTTTGCATGTCGTAGGTATTGCATGGTTATTGGATTTTTATGCCGTTATGCTATGTGATTTTCTTTGAGGAGGATAATTTGCATACGAGATCTTGGTGAGTTGTTAAGCGGATTTTGTACGAGAAAGACCCAAATGTAGCCCTGTTATAACTTCAGCTGGTAATTCGATTTTCAACATGGTATGAGTTAGGAAATGCAATACCGGTATACCGGTATACCGAATTACCGGTAAACCGCCCGATTTTTTGGCGGTATTTTTACCGGTATTTATTCCAAAAATACCGGTATTTTCGATATTTTTACATAAGCGATATTTGACACATAAAACCCCAAAAGTTCGAATTTCTCGGAACAA